CATAGCAATAACCTACTCTAGCTAAGTACTGGCTTACTGATTACTGATTTAAGAATCAACATCATAGCACACCGGGCATACCCATAGATGCTCTGTCTCCCCAGCAGATGACGTAAGGTGTAGATGCTAACTGTTCCCGTAGCACACTAGTTTTACACACACCGATCTCTTCCTCTCAGCCATCCCCTCCTTGCCGGATCCACACTTAATTCCTTTTTTCACACATTCTTGCCCACGTTATTTCATCTAATCTGGTGTCTTCTGCCAAAAGTTGTTCATATATGGTCTTCAGAATATCTCCCTTGTCCAATACGAGTGTTCCCGTAACTTCTGCTTTTGTAACCAGAAAATTTGCTCTTTCATTCTCTCGCACTGCTACATGTCCCGGACAGTTTAGAAATGACTTACTGTAGCACCATGACTTACTTCAATGACTTACTAAATAACACAGCAGTGACTTACTGTAAATGAGCATTTGCTTACTGTGACACAGCAATAACACAAACAATGCATTGCACAATTCATTGCCTGGCATATTTTGTCAGGTGCATCACGGCAAGTTAAATCAACATATAATAAAAATTAAAAATAAACAAATAAAAAAGTCACTAAACTAAAAAACTTATTGCCTGTTTACAATAAGGGGAGTAGACTGCAAGACTATTTGAACAGGCTAAGTTCAACATGCACAAGATATAACATGAAAATAAATACTACTAAAATTTAGGTAATGCAGGTGAGTAGAATTCCTAGTCCGCTATATACAGGGTTGAATGTTTCTTATCTGAAACAAGCTGAAGAATTTAACTATCTAGGAAGTAAATTCTCTCAGGAGCAGAGAAGAGACTGGGAAATAGAAACAAGTTGCTGATGAGCCAGTGCACTTATAAACCAACTGACATCGTTATTACGACATCCAAATTGCCGATGAGCCAGTGCACTTATAAACCAACTGACATCGTTATTACAACATCCAAACAGAAATATGACTGCCAAGAAACAGATTATAAACATATTCATACCATTACCGTGCGACCAGTGCCAGACATGGACATTATCAAAGACTAACCGAAGTAAAATTAACACCTGTGAAATGGGAGGCTTGAGAAAAGCCACTACTTTAATCATCATCTGAGACAAAGACAGAAATGATATTATCATACTGACTGTAGGAATAACACCATGCAAGCACATTCAATGAGAAACAGAAGACCAAATGGTTTGGTCATATAGTAAGAATGCAGCCAGAACAACTACCAACGCAGGCAATACACATGAAAAGATCTGAAGTGAAAGCAAGAGGTTGCTCTACGAGAACAAGGATTGATGACATCAAAAATCTTCTACATCGACACAGAATAACAATAACCATTGCTGTCCATCAAGCAATTCATCGCAAATGTTCCTCTCCACAACGCTTAACGGAAGAAGTGGAAACTGATGATGATGATGATGATGACGACGACAAAAATTACACTGTCAAGTTCCAGTGTTCACTTCTCCACCAGAGATTGGTCACTTCGTCACTTCGTCACCATGGTAATTTCAAATTTACCACATCTAGCATTTGTTAATGTGGTACGTATCATTGACGACATACAGCAAACAATGCTGTGGAATAAACTTAACAATATATTGTTCGTGTCCTCATTATTTACATTTACAACAGGAAAAATGTTCTGAATTCGAACTTACTGTATTACAGCATTGGGATTAGGTAGCTAACTCTCACCTGGCACCTCTTTAGTCATGCCTGGTAGGGTGCAGTGTTACTTTGGTTTTCCTAAGGAGTCCTGGTATTACCATACATTTTTGAGACCATAAATAATAAGACATTTATTTGTGAGACAAGTAATGAGACAATAAGTTAAATTTAGGCTAACATATGAGAAAATAAGACGCTTACTTTTGAGATCACTGATTAGATAATAAGCTTTATTTAGGCTAACATATGAGAAAATCAGATGTTTACTTCTCAGATCATTGATTAGATAATAAGCTATATTAAAGCAAACATATGAGACAAACAGACGCCTACTTTTGAGATAACTGAAGAAAATATCAGATTCTTATTTTTCAGCTACTTGAGAAGATAACCAGTTACTTTTAAGATAACAGATGAAGATAACAGATGAAGATAACAGATGAAGATAACAGATGAAGATAACAGATGAAGATAACAGATGAAGATAACAGATGAAGATAATAGATGAAGATAACAGATGAAGATAACAGATGAAGATAACAGATGAAGATAACAGATGCACACACAAAAATCAGATGTTTACTTAGAGATTACAAATAAGAAAAATTTCAGATAACAGATCAGATGTTTAATTTGTAAATAATATATGAGATCTTCAGATCTGGTCAAGTGGGGAATAACAACTTTTACAACACCAGAATAGGTTATGAATCACTACCTGAAAGCAGGACTGTTTTAAAACATGTGATTCCCTATGAGTGATATTATTTTTCATATTTAACTCATAAAACATTATCAGGCACTCTGACTATGTATAGCAACTGCATAATAACAACAATTTGAAAATATGTCTGCAACTGTAAAGTGATAACTGCTAACATGTAACGAACTCTCCCTGAGTTTACTGGTGACTCTTTCAGCACCAAGGAACTCACAGTGGCTTTATTGGTTACTCACTGTAAGATTCAAATTACTTTATGCTGTCTGGGCCATTCCACTGTTATTTTATGAAAAATATATTAAACCAGTCAGCTTTATAATATCAAAAATGACAACTGAACACTGTGGCTAAAGAGCTCTCATCAGCACATAAGATAAATCTACAAAAGCACTAATTTGAACACGAACACACAAAATCACATATCTGATGTATCCCTTAAATAAATCACATTATTTCACTCTGACCTGTAGAATATCTGGGAGCTTGAGATATGTAGTGGCTAGAAGCTCATCTGTGGATCCAAAGGTTTTGGGTTTAGGTCCCGATGGAGCCAGACTTTTCCAAAAATGATCTTGGCTCCCACGATGCACCAGCCTTAAAAGGGTATCAGGTAAAGTCCTGGCAATTAAAGGTGGTCAGCGTGTGATCACCATATTAGCCGCTGAGTGCGCATTGGTCTATAAAATAAAGGTCTAGCCCTATGTGCTCCACACGCCTGATGGTGTGAAAAAGGGCCCTTGATTTAGCAGAATTTTCTGACGTGTGTGGTCACAGAAAACGCTGGTCAGAAAAGCCGCGAGCGACAAGGGCTTTAACTCCAAGATAAGATAAAAACTGTGTTGGGTGTTAACCTTCCCTGGGTAAACTGCAGCCAATGAGATGGATAAGGTAGTTCTCAAAAGATTTGATTTGTTTTAACACACTATAGCTCTAAGTATACGTCATTCTGCTGCAACAATAACAACAACAACAAAAACACTGAATTTTTCAATTCCATAATACTACAAATGGGTTGCTCTAAGGCACGCAATAATTTTATGACAATGTTGAAGGGCACATACAAACTTTGCGGCAGACAATATTGAAGGGCACACAAAAACTTTGCTACAGATAATGTTAAAAGAACATAAAAACTTTATGACAGACAATGTTGAACGGCACACAAAAACTCTGCAACAATGTTGAAGGGCACACACAAAAACTTTTAGTACAGACAATTTTGAAGTAACATCTACGAGGGACTGAACAAGTTAACTGACATGCTGTTCTATTCTCCTTGTGTCTCATTTTAGTTTTTAAAGTACATGTCATTGTTAAAAGTTCATTCATTTACAATAAATTATATTTTGCAGATACAAAATAACTACTGTTATCAAATTGCTTTTAAAAAAAATGGTGCAATAAAAAAAACTGCAGGATCTGCATAACGGTAAATAATAAAATGAAAATGACATGATAAAATATACAGACACAGGGTCAACATTGATTGTGACCCATGTGGGTTCTACAGTCTCATTTTATTTCAGGGGCAACCCACAATCCCTTAACAAACATGTTTTTGTAAATGGTGACTAATTAAGGGCTTGCTGAAAGATGTGTTGGGGTAAGAGGTGCAGATATCGCAGCCTAGCTGTGAAACCATAATACAGGTATGTACTGTCCTTCTAAAGGCAAGTATAAACAGAGATAAAGACCCATTCAATAGTTCTGAAAATAATAGCCCAGTACTAAAGAAGTACTAAACTGTTCAGTGGCTATTTTATAAAAAACTATGTGTAAACTCTTTCTGTCCATTCTTTTCCCTTGTTATCCCTATTCTATCTCAATTCTTACTTTTTTTCTTGTCCCAAAGCTGCATTTTTCAATTCTTTAAGACCGACAAATGGTTGCACTAAGGCAGGGCTTTCAACTATGTTCACACAGGCAGCAAACATTTTGAAAATGGGGATCGTCACGGGTCAAAGGCCTGAGCTCAGCTTTGAAAGATCATTAATACAATACAACTGACTATGATCCACGGTCTACTTGCTAGACCTACGAGGGCCACTTGCTAGATCTCCGCAGGCCAGAATTGGCCTGCAGGCCATCTGCTGAATAGCCCTGCTCCAATAAATAAAATTGTTAGGATATATTGCATTGGAGTAATGATTACATGGTTCTGAGAGAGTTAAATAAAATTTGAAGTTTATATTTCTAAACATACTATTTCTATTCCAAGCTACTCAATATTCCTTTCAAGTACGTCATGGCAGGCTCACAAAAATCAGGTTAAACATATATTTATAGTTACATATAAATGTTGGGCTAAAAAAAAATGATCTCAAAACAAACATTTATATTTATATATAGTTAGCTCATACAAATCAGTTTTTAAAAAATGAATACAAAATAATGTATAGTCATTTTTATTTGTAAATATACAGCAAAGAATCTGTTATTAAAATACAATAATAACTTTTGCAGTCATATAAAATGTTAAATCAACTTGAGTTCTATTATCAGAAGTTGAGCTTAGTCAGAAGGAAGAAAAAAAAGCACACAGATATTTTCAAGTCATGGTTCATGATGTGAATGCTAGTTGTTTCCTCTGTACTCAAAGTAGTTAAAATCAATGAGGAATGTTGCACCAAACAGCAGCATCTTCCGCATCAAATCCATATCTGCCAGGACTGAAATACACACACAATTTATATCATTTGAAAAGTACATTCATAAAATTCTGGCTTATTGTTTAGTCTTTCTGTCAAACAGTTTTCAATTTAATCATTCTGATCTAGTTAACAATGTAATTTGAGACCTTTAAGATGCATTTGTCGGCTCTGTGGCTAAGTCGATGTAAACGCTTCTTAATGCCGGGGTACCGGGTTCGATCCCAGCTGCGGGCCATACGCCTTGCGTTAGTTTCGACAGTGGTATCAGAGAGCCGACCGTCCAGAAAGCACTGGCAAACTACTGGACGTAATTTGCCTAGTGAAACCACACAACAGCCAGGGGCTGATGGGGTTGGTTCTGCAACGTCCTCTTAAGGATACGCAACTAACCTTTCATATGTAATTTGAGACCTTTAAGATGTAATTTGAGACCTTTAAGATGTAATTTGAGACCTTTAAGATGTAATTTGAGACCTTTAAGATGTAATTTGAGACCTTTAAGATGTAATTTGAGACCTTTAAGATGCAAAAATTACTGACAGCTATAGAGATTTAAAAAACAGGAGACATCATAATGGAAGAAGATGATATAATAACTAAATGTATGAATCTATGAATTATGAATACATAATAGAGCTTTATGATGGAAAGAGAGCAGAATTACCAGAAGAAAGAAATGTAGAACGTCCGTCTATACTAAAGGAAAAAGTTAGCGATGCTATTAAACAGATGAAGAAAGGAAAGTCAACTGGGCCAGATGAAATTTCAGTAGAAGAATTAGAAGTACTGGGGGAATTTGGGGTAGAAATATTAACTAAACAGATGAATGACATTTATAACACTGGGTACATTCCAAGTGATAAGATTAAATCTGTATTTATTGTGTTACCCAAAAGACCAGGAGCAATTGAGTGTAAAGAATTTCGTACAATCAACTTAATCACAATCATGTCACTCAATTACTACTTATAATCATCATTATAGATAAAAACAAACAGAAAATAAAAATAGAAATGAGTGAAGAGCAGTATGGATTTATGGAAGGTAAAGGGACAAGTAATACAATATACATATTACCCTGTAAACCTGAAAAGTGTCAACATTTACACTTCCGGTTGGGTCCAATTCTCTAGAAGTGTCACTATTCTGACTCCTCTATAATGACTTCATATAGTTAATGCTACTGTCTGAGTTCACACCTGCACAAATGTTTAGGAGATCATGATGTGAGCTAAAATACTAGCATGCATATGCATGCTTGCGTGTGTGCATGCGTGAGCGCACGCACGCACGCACGGACGCACACACACACACGCACAGAGAGACAAAGAAAGAGAGAGAAACAGAGAGAGAGAGAGAAGCTATGATTTCGAACAATTCTCATCAAACTTACACTTCAAGCTGAAATCATTAGCTCCACCAAACAGCTCTCGACATCCGCCCCAGTGTTTGACAATCTGACCCACTTCATTTGCCTCACCATCACCGTCAAACACCTGGCAAGACAACAGACATAGAATTAAAACAAAAGCTTGCACACATCAATTCTGTTGAGCCCTGCACTCAAGATTGCTACAAACCCAACACTTCTAGTTGCCAGGAAATCTGGCTGTTATGTCTGTAATGGATTTTTCTTTATAGTTTACAACCAGGTTGGTAATTCTAAATTTGTCATTCTGCCCAGGCTTGCTTTAGTGTTATCATTTGATATGCTTTGAGTTTCTCTTCTTAGTGTTCCGTGGCTGAAAACTTCAGCGGAAAGTTCTGGCTGTTTGTCCACTTCTAGACTTTAAGACTTCTTCCAGAACTTGAATTTTGCATACACATCTATTTTACAGATCTGACTCACTTGTATACAGACTGCTGGTTCATCACTCCTCAGGCAATTTCGGAGGAAAAAGTCCCAGTCACCTTTTACCATGTGTTTGGGGAGGCAGTGAGCTTATTCTTGTCCCTCCCACAATGCAAACCCAGAACCTGCAATCACTGGCTGTTTTCAGCTGGACCTTTCTGGAATAGACGGAGTTAAAATAATTAATTATAGACCTGTAGTGAAAGAGTCTCTAAGCAACTCACCCTAAAGACCACATCCGCGCAGCACTTGCAGTAGCAGCAGTCACCTAAGATGGTGAACACACACTGGTTTTGTGAGTTGTACACTCTGTACTTGGGGGTCCAACATGTCCACCTGCGACACATAATGGGAAACACACATTTATCTTTGTTTGGTTGTTAAAAGTTACAGCTTTGAACTTACATTTGTAAAAAAGGTTCTCAGAAATACATGGATTAAAAAGAATAAAATTACAGATATTCTAGAAGATATAATCATCCAAGAAAACTCGTTTATAAAGGCAAGGTGTCAAAAACCTAACACAAAGTGTAGTGATCTGCAAAGAACAAATGAGTGAAAACAATTTATTGTCAAAGGGTCACGAATTGGGCATGCAGGCCCATCTTACAGTCAGCTCTTCCAAACATGCATACAAACATCCACCAATCTTATATTAAGGTGTTGTGATCTGGAAAGATTGATGATTGAACACACAAACTTCATTGCCACAGGTTCTAGAATTGGGCATGCAAGTCCATCTTCATTCAGCTCTTCCAGACCTACACACAAACATCCATCAATCAATCATACATCCATATATCAAACATACATCCATCCGTTCCTCCATCCATATATACACTGCTAGAACAGTATAGGAAGGCTTTTTTTTTTTTTGTTAAACCTGTGTAATACACACTACCCCTGGACCCAAGTTTCAAAAAGAGCAAGATTTAATGGCGGTGACAGACACACTTTCTCTCTGCTGCTTTAGTCAGAACTAGTGGAATGGAGAGAGGCTGGTCTGAATGCTTTCTTTTCAATATTGTGACGAAATCATAACAGTGTTTTCAGATTTTAATTTGTTTAATAATTTCTTGTATTCAATTAAGTAACTAAGAATTATATTTACTATGCGGTAGGCCCAAATACAACAACCCTGTCGGATTAAACATTATTTCCAGTTCTAAGCCCAGGCAAAGCAACTAGTCTGTGTCTAATATTACCTAAGACTATTACCCCGCCCACCTGAGGAGACAAGAGGTGTCAGAAAAATAACATGATCAGCCCTTCAGAACCGTAAAATCATGGGAATTAAGTCTAGCCAGCAAGAAAGTCCAGACACTGTGAGCTGGTTTTCCACATCTTTTAGTGACACTGGGTAGAGGGTCTAGTGTAGGAATCTACATTGTGTGGGAGATGGGCAAGCTGGGAAAAGCTAGACACAGCCTCAAATCAAGGGTTTTCTGAGGTTTCATTTCTTGAATTCAAAGTTTTGTGCCTCATTTGTGTTCACAAAACTTATTATCATCATAAGAACATTACTCTAATCTCCGTTGCTTAGTTCTCTAGCTAAAGTATCTCATTACCACCATACCATCAGCCAGTCACTTGTTGTTCAATTAGTTTAAAAAACAAATATAATCTAAATGATTGTTAGTATAATTAATCAATATATCAAGCCTTATACTATATTGCTCGTCAAATTCCAAGTGTATTTATTTGTACATGCTTAACTAAACTGTTAGACAGAATTACATTTGCTGGGAGGCTCTTTAATAATTCTTTACCAGAAGGAGGACATTGTGAGGGGTCATCTGCACTAACAATACATTATTAAAAGTAATCTAGACATCTAAAACCCCTTTCCTTTTTCTGTGGGTACCAAGTGCAGCTGTTGTGAATTTACATGACATGGTGGGTTTTTTTTTATATCCAGGACTTTGTCTCAGATCAACATAGCTGGAACATTAGTCCAGTTCTCCGGTGGAGGTGAAGCGTTGAGATTAAAACTCCTACTCATCACAAAAGCATCTATCCACTCGGGGACTTGCGACAAATATCCAAGAGATGTTCACAAAACCAATCTTGGTTTTCATGGTTAAAAACAGTTAATGATTTGTGCCGTTTGTATTTTGTGATGAATTTTCTTTCTTACAGCAAGGATACCTTCAAAATCAAGATTTATCACAAGTTAGGAGTTTCCTGAGGACACTTACCATATAACTAGCTACAACTATTTTTTTTTTTAAACCGTTTCTATTTATAGGTGCTAGCTGAGATAAGACTGATTTATAACTCTAGACAAGCCTGCAGGTCCAATATCTGAGTCAGTGGATGTGTGTGCATGCTAACCGCTTTTACAGTCACTCAGTGTGTAACTATAAACTAGAATTGTTATCTATTTTTAAGAAAAGTAAAAGGCCCTTTTCCGTGCCTTCAGGGGGCATACAGTGCTAGGCCTTTATTTTACAGACAATTGGCAGTCAGCGGATGAGGTGATGCTGGTTGTCTTTACTTCCCAGGACTTTACCTGTTCTCCACTTAAGGCTGGGTACACCTGGAAGCCAAGGTCCTTTTTGAACACAGTCAGACTCTGTCTGGATTTGAACACATGACCTTCGGAACTGCAGGTGAGAGTTTCGCCGTTATAGCGCGGCGGCTCCTTGTTCTCGGTTTAAAGCATGTGCTTTTGTCTGTGTCAACTGGTATGGTTTATCAGCTCTAATTCATATGTCTTACATCTAGGGGGCGTAGCGCATTCAGGAGGTCTGCCCTGTCGATACTTCTTCCTTGACTAACTCCTGCATACACGGCCAGTCTATCGGTTCTTTCATTTCCTCTAGCCCTGGTCTGCACAGCAAAGACAGTTTCTCGAGTCAGGACTTCATGATGTTGTCAACCCATCTTGGCTGGAGTTACCAGTTTGGATCTTCTCAAGAATACTCAGTGAGTCTATCACTATCAGTGCGACGAGTTGTTTTCTGTTCCACCATCCATGCAAGTGACCCTGTGACAGCTACTATATCTATCGTCACACCAGAATTAGTTAAACTGACTTGAATGCCCAAGCAGTATATAAGCTAGGCATGAATGTCTTTTTCAGATATGTATTATATTAGTCTAACAGTTAGTCGAGTTTGAAACTTCACTACTGACTAGCCACCCCATTTCTGCTCAGTTCCTATGGAAATCCCACAAAATATCCTTCACTGTAATATTAGAAGAAAAAAAAAAACTAGTGAAAAACAGATTAGTCCCAGCAAAATCTTGAAGCTTGCACATGCAATGTAAATACATAAGGCAGCTATAAATTATTTCAACACTTACAGTCTTCTACTGGAACTGTAGCTCAATGTTTATGCAAGCAGTCAATCAAAAAAGCCACAAAACTCAACAAGTGCATGCCATTTCTAAAGTAATTGGCCACTCATTATTTTTAGTGCACTTGACAACATAAAAACTGTCACACACACAATAAAAAGAAGGACTAAATATTTTCACATGAAACCGCATGCTTCCATATTGTAGGGTGAAAGAGACTAGATACACCCTCTCCCCTCCCCCATCCCAGCCTGATCCTCTCACAAGCATGTTGTCAAAGCCAACTAAGCGGTGTTTCCTTCGAAGTCAGAGTACATCTTCCTGAGACTTGAGAAACCAACAGTCTGCTTAAAAAACAGGTACCATCTCTACAAAGAAGGTCAGCCGCAATGGATTCACATCTGAAAAGTTGGTCCTCAAGACAAAGAGTATCAATTTTTCAAGCAGCAATTTCAGAAGAAAAACCTTTTTTTTTTCAAGTAAGAGAAAGAAAGCATTTGCACCAAGAATTGGATCCATGAAGACAATAACAAAAGACTGCACAATTTATTGCTTGGCATAGCTGTATCTCCGCAGGTGCGTGCTACAAATAGACAAGGTTTGCGTCAAGCCTAGAATGTATGTGGGTTCATTTTCAAGATGCAGTTTTCAGAGATCCCTGGCTATCAGCAGTAAAACTATGAAGCTCGTAATTTGTTCAATTTTCTTGGTAGGTGGCAACCACTCTGAGGGCTAAATAGAACAAACTCTGGTGCAATGAAGCTAATCTTCTCAATTTCAAGTAATGTTTTATAAATTTGTTTATGTCTTAATCCTTTGGTCCTTAAAATGCTTCATAAAAAGGGGACATGAGGACTGGAATTTCTTTAAAATCTTTAAATAAATGGGAGAACCCTTAAGGCTCTATAAATATTTTATCTAATAAACAAACAGTCAAGATATTTATCAGCACTCATTGAAAGGAGTAGAAAGATAGAAGGACACACTAGAATACATACAAATCAAAAGTTATAGGTGCCGTATCCGGAATCAAACCTGTCACCTCTAAATGGTGTGTGTGCCTCACTATGGAAACAAGTGTAGTAAGATACAGAACCAACTAGGCAACCCCCAAAAAGGTTTCTGCATCCGCCATATCTATCGTACAGCTTGAAATCCGCAACTATGGAATACGGACAGAACGCGTCTCAAACCATTTAAAATTTATTTTAAACAAGAACAGGTCGAAAAACAAACATAACAGCAACTCAGACCATAATGCTTGTGTCTAGAATACAAGAATATTTAATCTGATTTGAAGGTCACTAAAAACTGTTTTTAACTGTATTTATATATTTTAAATTTTTGGGGGGGAAATATGAAGAAAGAGTAATCAACAAACATGGATGCAGTAAAGAATTAACTCATTCCCCTAAGCCTTAAAAACAATGTATCAGGTGACTTCCACTGTGACCTCATGACCTCAAAAGAATACCAATGGCAAATAATGATGTCAAAATGGCTTTAAAATAGCAATTCTACTCACAAGGACTCCTTCTCCCAGTGCTATTTTTAGTAAATATCTTTATATCCTGACCTCTTAAATGCTGCGCAGGCACAAACACAACCAGTGGTGTTAACTAGGCATCTTGGAAACATACCACTGAAAAAATGCCGGGTAAGCAACAATTCAGGAAGGAGCCAACCCCGGTCATCTCTGAGCAAAAGGGTTAATTAACTCATCATGTTAGTCCCTAGCAATATATATGTCTTGATGAAATACTCACACTTGCTTCACTGTGCCCTGCAATACTCCCGGAGGGGACTCAATCTCCATCTCCTGCAAGCAACAACACCACATGCACGAGGCTTGGCAGCGGAAAGGCCGCTTCATCATCATCAACTGCTGTCCAGCATTGTCAGTCACATTCATGACAAATGGTCTGGCAGTGCCACAAAACTGCCGTGTGCAGCAGTCAGTGTCTAAAACAAAGAACAGGAAAACATTAAGTATACACCTAGCTTTAAACAAAAAAACCAAGAAGGTGCTGTGGTCACAAACCTTCATCAGCAAATAAGAAATGAAGATGACAATTATAACTACATTAACACTCATAAATGATGAGGACATTTTTACAAGATAAATTAACAATCATTGGCTAAAAATATAACGTAATATATCATTCAACAAATGATAAAGGCCTAAATCACTCATTAAATGCTAAAATATTAAATTCCCAAATGATAAAGTAATAAATCACTCACCAAATGATACACAAGTGTCTCACCAATACATTAAGTAATGGCTGATTAACTGAAACAATCAAATCCAGGAAATATGAAAACTATACAAGTCAATCATCATCCTGATTTGCTATTCTATACATCATTCTTTTTTTTTTCCACTCCGTTCTATCCCTGCAATGCTGTCAGCAACATTTATCTTAGGGTTTCCTCAATCCATTTATTTCTCAATTTCAGAGCCTTTTTTGTGTTTGATGATTTGTCTGCTTCTTTTTATATTAACCAATAAACTATGAACAACCAAAAAACTCTGCTCATCAAATGAGGGAGTACACAAACCAGCCTCAATCAACACTTCAGAAAGAATAATCTCTCAATCTCTCCACAATCCTCATTCACAATCATACCCATATCCCATAAGAACACAAGCCCAGATTCTCACCTTCTTTAGCAAACATGAACTTCTGGCTCTGGTTGTTACAAATGTCATATCTGTTGTTTCTCTCCCAACCAATCAATACTGGAATGTAAAAAAATACTATTTGAGATAAGTTAACACTAACTAGACAAAAGCTAACTTTTGGATTCAAATTAATAACAAACATGAAGGACACAATCCTAAAGATCAAATGAACCTCCTCACATGGGGAAAAAACAACAAACAGACTATTATAGTTAGATTGTGTACTAGACACAACAGACCCTGCAGCCATATGTACAAGAAATTCAAGATGGAGGGGGGGGGGGGGGGGAATTTCAGAACTTCAGAACTTTGCCTATGTGGACATACACAACAGAATAATGAACCTGTGCTACAGACTTGCTCTCTGCGTGCAGGTTTGGTTGGCTGGGATTAAAATAGAAACCTAGCTGCATGGAATGGAGGGACACAAGAGCTGCACCACAAACTGCATAGAAACCTGTGGCCTTCTCATATGAAAACCACTTTCAGAGAGAATGAAAAGAAGAAGACGGATTCAAATTAAAACAAACTGATTCAAATTAAAACAAATTACACGGCAGTGCACAAGCCTGCTGACACAGTGGTCTTGGTTCCTTCCTTAGATGTGGCAGGAATTTTTCTGTTATTTCAGTTATTACAATGTTGACCCAACCTCATAAGAAATGGGTACCAGACAATATCCAGAACTTTCTAGAAACTGTACGGGAAGGAAAAACTGATGTGGAAGGCAAATGGTCACCTCCATCTCATATGTGATAACCCAGTACATGTGGAGGTCCAACCTGCAACCTCTCATCACCATGTAGCAAGTGGTTTGCAGAGAATCACTCTCATCACGGTCTGTTGAAAGAAACTTAAGTCTCTCGCCAGGTTTCCCACCTCGGGCATGTTCCTACCCAAGGTATCACATATCCATTAAAGTTACTACCATATCATACAAGACTAGCCTTCAATAAAGTATTTACCATTTTAGAAAGCTGTAAGGCAAAGCAGTCAGGAACCTTACTTAGGGCTGCCAATACAGTGCAGCTGCCATGAACTGTGCAAGCTGGGTTTTCTGTATTTGCCCCTAAGAGAAAAATACTCACCTACTTACAGGAGACTTGCACCCGGGTCTTGCAGATGAGAGTCAAGCATTCTAAAACTCATTCGGCCACTCCTCTTCAGTAAAAAAGTAAAAGTAAAGTTCCCTTTTCACGCCTTTCGGCGCATCGGGCATACGGGCAGAGCGTCCCATATTTTTACAGACCATCAGCACTCTGTGGGTAATGTGTTCAGCATTACACTACTGTCTGCATTTACAACTTTTAAGGTCCCAGAACCTGAGGATTTGGGACCTCGTGGTTGGTGCTGTCACCATGGACTGTCTTTCTATCCACCCCCCCCCCCCCCTTTTTCCCCCCTGCCAGACAAAGAAACATTCATCACCTTAACAGGAGTCAAACTCGAGTCTCAAGCATAAGCGCCAGATCATGTTACCATTCGGGCAGCGGCTTCTCCTCCAGTATTCCTAGCACCTGATAAACGCTAACCATTATCCTAGGAAAAAGGCAACAACGAGTGAAATAAATCACTTACTTTCTGCAATCTCCATGATCTGATGAATCTGAACCTCATTGAGGGTGGCAAGATATGCCAGTCCTGGAGGAAGGCCAGCTGGAATCATAATGTTTGGTGGGGGCCCCATCATCATGCCTGTAGGACAAAGAACAGTTAAATCATAGATTTTGAAAGACATAATACTCTTACATAAATCATACCGGAGGGAAATGTCATAGGCAAGAGAGCAAAGGGTAGACAGCAATATAACTGGGAGGGCACAAGCAAGAGATGGATGAAAAGGAGTCTCCGAACAGACAACTAACACCAAAAAACACATAGATGCACACTCTTAACAACAAATAGTCATCGTAAAGATGGCACCTGACTGCTTGATATGTCATTGGGGTCGAATGTCAATTTCTTGCATGAGAGACTGCTCGGCCAACCGCTCATCAGGGTACTATCATATTTCCCCAAAAATAGGACCTACCCAAAAAAATAAGTACTAGCAAAATTTTTCAGCATTTTTTAAATTTAAAACATACCCCTAAAATAAGTATTTTACTTTAGATCATCAGCTAGAATGAGAGACTTACTGCCAAATGGCCACTGGGAGTATAGATGCCACATGGCAGACTGGGGCCAATGGTTCTACAGGAAAAAGAGTTGCAAGAAATTCAGGCCAAAATTTTGAAAGTTAAGAAGATATTCCAGAAGAAGATGACATGACTGTATTTAAATAAATGTAGGATTTTGTACATAAATAAATGTAGCTTTTGTATCTCCCCCCCCCCCCCTTTTTTCGCCCCCCCCCCCCCCCCCAAAAAAATATATCTCCCCCTAAAAAAACAAAAACACTAATGCATTTCTGAAAAAAAAAAAATTAATTCAAGACCTGGTCATTTTTTGTGTGTCAGGTAAACACAACAGCAGGAGTTTTATTATCTGACTGTCACCCATATCCCCTTTCTTCTATAAACTTACTGCTGCAACTGGCAACCAAGTCACAATATTACACTCTGTACTTCAAGGTAACACTGAGTTGAGGCAAGCAGAGTTAACAATCTACAACACAGCACTAGGGACATTCTCATAAGCGCTATGTCCCTATCTTCAGCAGCAAATGTTCCATTTCCAAAGGTACCAGTAGCAGTCTGAATGAAGGTCTATCTTGCCTTTCCCGTGAGTGCTAAGTGTTGGCAAGATCCCCTGATCACTACCCACGACCCCCCACTCTCTTCAGACATTCAACGTAATGTTTCAGTTTCAAGATAACATATAATATATAATAGCTGCCTGAATGTCAGGCAGGCATACATTTACTGTGACAGTTTCGTATAGATTTTTCTAGCAGCATGTTGACATTAGAATTTCTGGCCAGTACTGACACAGGAATCTGTATCATATCAAATCTCAAACATAATATTCTTAGTCAAAGGAGACGAATGGGAATGTATCCTGCCAAAAGAGATAGCTAAATAACAGGACAAGAACAGATAAAATAGTTTCAAAGAAAAATACTACATGAACTTAAAGCCAGTTGTTTAATCTCTTCACCAGGTTGTTTAACGCTTACAATACACCACTGTTGCAAACTATATACTGTTGTTGTGTACAACATTGCACAGTTGCATTATGGATAACAATGCTGCTTACTACCTTCCAGTATTTGTCACTATAATTCATTGTTCTTTACTACTATTATTGTTTACTATTTTTTTAACCCTTTATTTATTGGAGGGAAATGAAAAGGGGATGGTTTAAACATACACTATTCACTTCACTATTCAAAACAAGTTGGGTCATTAAAGAAAGATCCTGTTGTGAGAGTCTGTGATTTGTAGGGTTGCCAGATTGTGGAAAATGACATGTTGTCTATCTATTTAAAGACACTTTTCACGACTTGCTATAAAATGTACACATTCAACATACTAATCTTACACCATAGAGACTAAATGTGGGTGGAAAAAAAAGGACACATTTGGGAGAAATGGAGTATCTCGCAACCTCAGAGAGTGGTATGTGTGGGTATGGTGTGTGAGTGGGTGGGTGGGTGGATGTGTGTATGTTTGTGAGGGGGTGTGTATGTGCATACATGCGTGTATGTGTGTGTTGTGTGGGTGTGGGGGGGTGGGGGAGGACTGACTGGCGTTTGTGTAATTTAGGCCAACAGTATGAAGTGGGTAATCCTCCCCTATCAGCTGCCTCTCCCTCTGGGAAAGAAAGATGGCTGCTAGGGCACATTCTTCTGGGTCAGGAGCACCCAGTCCAGGAAAATACTTGGTCCAGTTTGACAAGCAGGTTATGACACAAATCAGCTTAGCAACGGTAGTAACAGTAACATTCACAGATTGTACAATGGCTATGTCCCATGTTTGTCTCTGTGGTTTAGAGGTAAAAATATGCTTTCTTCTTCTTCTTCTTCTTCTTCTTCTTCTTCTTCTTCTTCTTCTTCTTCTTTTTTACTACTTCTTCTTCTTCTTTTTTCTTCTTCTTCTTCTTCTTCTTTTTCTTCTTCTTCTTCTTCTTTTTTTCTTCTTCTTCTTCTTCTTTTTTTCTTCTTCTTCTTCTTCTTCTTCTTCTTCTTCTTCTTCTTCTTCTTCTTCTTCTTCTTCTTCTTCTTCTTCTTTCTTCTTTTTTCTTTTTCTTCTTCTTCTTTTTTTCTTCTTCTTCTTCTTCTTCTTCTTCTTCTTCTTCTTCTTCTTCTTCTTCTTCTTCTTCTTCTTCTTTTACTACTTCTTCTTCTTCTTTTTTCTTCTTCTTCTTCTTCTTCTTCTTTTTTTTTTCTTCTTCTTCTTTTTTTCTTCTTCTTCTTCTTCTTTTTTTCTTCTTCTTCTTCTTCTTCTTCTTCTTCTTCTTCTTCTTCTTCTTCTTCTTCTTTTTTTCTTCTTTTTTTCTTCTTCTTCTTCTTCTTCTTCTTCTTCTTCTTCTTCTTCTTCTTCTTCTTCTTCTTCTTCTTCTTCTTCTTCTTTTTCTTCTTCTTCTTCTTCATCACGTTCACTGACTGTAAGCACTGGCAGACAGCTCTGGTTGTTTATACACGTCCAGTCATGTTTGAGCACTTGAGTTTTTCAGATCTGGCCTTTATGAGTGTAAACTGCTTGTTCCCTGCCTCTCAGGCAGATGCACTGCGACTGTGAAGGAAACCCACCTGACTGGGCATTTTTTAACGCATGCTGGCTGGGCGCGGGGGGGGGGGGGGGGTGTTGCCACAGAGGTGGCATGGGGAGAATGCAGTTATATAACTCTAACATCCCAGTTTGAGTCACCTGCAGGTGATATGATAATGGAATGGCTCTGTACTGATTGAAATAAGTGTCGACTGTATAGTAAACAATGGCAAACTACTCAAACTGCACTGTAAGGCCAACAAATGTTCAGGGAAGGAGATGAAGGGGGTGCTGGTTTGCAACATTCAGTAAAGGATTCGCAGCTCCCTTAATGTCCCATATATTTTTCTTTTTAAAATTCAAGTTAACAGGATAAAGTCAAAAGCACATACTTCACTGCACTGGAGTTTATCCCATATGTCTCAGTGTCTCTCCACAACATGGCTAGCTACTTGCCAAGAGCGTCGCATAAAGTATGAACATTATAGCTTTGGTTACGATCCCCAAGGGTGTCATAATGAATAGAATGATGCAGCAGGGAAATGAACCCACAATCATCAGAGCCTGAGGCAAATGGCTTACCACTTTGCCATGGAGACCACCGTGAAATTTTCCATTTAATACAGATACAATAGAGGTATAAAAAGATAGAATCAGAGAAACGTGGAATCCATAAAACAATCCCCCATTCCCGAATTCCATAAAACAATCACCCATTCCTGGAATTTCATAAAACAATATGCTAGAATTCCCTGGTGTAGTTAAGGTCTGTCTCAAAAAGTTATAACCGCTGTCCTTGAATCCTTTAAGACTAATCTCATGATTCCCAGTCAATTTCTGGCAATTCTGATACTTCAATGTAACAACTGTTTCAACAAATTCTAGATACCCTGTTCAACCCCATAAAGAGTTATAATTAGGGCCCAAGTAACAGATGGTGACTAGACACTAGCCTGCAGATCAGAAGTTTGTGGGTTTAGGACCTAAGGGATCCTGACTTTTTTCAAAAAATTACCTGGCTCCCAGGTCGACCCTGCCTTGAGTGGGTACCAGGTGCAGTCCTGGGAAGTAAAGGTGGATGGCGGGATGCTGACCGCATCACCTACCAAGTGCCAGTCAGTCTATAAAATAAAGATCTAACCCTATATATCCCTTATACATGAAAGCATGGAAAAGGGTCCATTACTGTTTGTTTTTACATGTAACAGACAACACTGAGTGTTACACTGGGTACCCTGCTGGTGTGGGCAGATAAGGATAATTATATGTACACATACACTTTCATTCATCAGACGGAACAAGCAGTGGCAACCCGGGGCCATGACACCTGAAGAGTATTTCTATCTTTGTTCTTGTGAGTGACAAAGCTCATAACATCCAGGTCAAGAAATATTGTTATGAAATACAACACAGCCTAGTCATGCCACACACAATGACTGTAACACCAACACAGTACAGGTAGCTGTGATTGTCATGCCTCATACCCTCGGCTGCTATTTTTAGTTAATTAAATAATATGCAGTGCATCTAAACCCAGAGGTGTTCAACCTAAGTAGGGATTGGAGGGGGCGGAAGGGGGAGGGGGGTTGGGGGGGGCCCTCGCAAGGTAGTTTCAAAAAGTTCTTGTCAATAGTGTTTGGGAATTTTTGTTTGGGCACTTACACACAGACACATGCACACATACACACATATGATGCATAGATACAGACACTCAAACATACATGCATACACATACTCATACATATTCATGCAGAAGAAGAAGAAATGGAGGTGACAGCCATTAAATCTAGCCACTCCAGCGACAGAGTTCGCAAGTCTCTTGAAAATCGCTTTATATACACATTGGGAACTCTCGCACCTAGTGGACTATACTGCCAACACAGCTTTGTCTAAATCCTAGGTGGCTGAACTGCCTACACAGATTTCTTTTATTCTCGAGTGACGGTTCCTGGCATATCCCCGGATATAAATTTTCTTAGCCCCACGTGCCTCGCCAGACAACTGTCTTGACATCGACCCGACTGCCATGAGATACAAAGATAAGTGATACTGCGTATTTGTGTAGTGTTGTCTAATCTACGTATGT